GGATGTACAGAAGGATTCAACGGTTCTTTCTAACTCATTAGAAAAAAACAAAAGAAGTGGAAGTAGTGGAAAAGAGACAGACACTACTCAGAGAAAAAACGACTATAAAGGTCTTTATGGGTTAGCCATAGAAAATACGTCTGGCAAAATAAAACAGAAAGCAAGGTTTGGAACTGAGCCAGAATATGAAAATCTAGGAAGAGAAAATACAGAATCATTGAATATTAATACCAAAAATACAACAGATCTCACTGAAAACAAAAGTAAACACAACCTTAATTCAACCTGTATTCAAGAAGAAAATTATTACAAACAGCATAGTTTGTACAATAACAATACATCAAAGGAGAATTGTAATGTGAGACATAATATATCTCACACAAGATATCCTAATCTATCATCCAGTTCTGATGAACTAGTCAATCTCTCCTCCTTCAAACGATCATTGGCCAAAGAGCTTCAGAAAAAAACTCAAATGCTATTGCAGGAGTTGGCTTCACCAGAACGACTGAGGAGAAGCCCTTTTAAATGGAGAGAATCATTATCTGACCTAGGTTCTCCAGACATCATCCCACCAAACAACTCTCCAGAGACAGATCTTATATTAAGTCCTTTGGGCAGAAGTGAGAGGTTCAATCTTGATACTACGTGGCCAAATTCAAAGCATGAGAAATTTTTAATGATGACAAAACCAGGTCTTTATACTACACCACAAGAGGTTTGTATGTCTAATTTGGTCATGTTTATGTATTTGTATTGTAGAAAAATATTGAAATAGTGTTTTGATTTATGAATGTGTGTGTACAAAAGTCAAATGTAATGAACAATAGGTCGTTAGCTATGGCATATATTTTTTCCAGTATCAGTTTCTGAAATTAAAGCACTTGGAATTTTATTTTATTAGGATTATGCAATACAGTTAGATAATTTGTTAAAGAATGGGTAAAACTGTGAAAGCATAACCATTTTTGGCTTCAAGAATAAATAAACAAAAAGAGGAGAGAGAAAAAAGATGATTCCTTTGATGTCCATTGTTTTTCAGTTTCACTTACACAGCTTTAGTTATATGTAACACAGCTTACCAGTAAGTAAAGAGAAACCAACTTCATAAAGAATGTCATTTTAATATATAAACAAACATGAAACAAAGGGTATAAGAAAACCATCAATATTTAGTGGATCTGCCTCTTATATGTGGTATCTAAAACAAAAAGATGATTATTCATTGTATTTGCAAGACGTGAAATCTAGGCTTGTGAAATTACACCCTACTCCTGACACAGGACATAGATAAGGTGTCCCTAGAAGGTGGCTGTTTGGGGTGCTTTCACAGTGAGCAATCAAGAATAGACTACACTGCTCCATTGCTTCATAGTTGGCAACAGGTTTGGCCATGGGAGATTGGTTAATGCCCTGACCTTCAAGTTGTTGGAAATGCTACATTATCTGGCAATCTGTTCACTGACATAGGTAGGTAAAAGACCTTCAAAAATTGTTATGTATTGTGCAGCAGTGACTGTCCCTTCACATGCCACCAGCTGGTCAAATAGCACCCCACACCATAATAGAATACTAATATATTGTGGCTTGTAAATGGTTTAACAAGAAATTTTGGTACAATAGTGCCAAACACATGTGCATCCACTGTCTGATAATAGTGCAGGTTTAGATTCATTGGAAGAAATTGTAGCATTCCAAAAGATGTGTGTGTGTGTGTGTGTGTGTGTGTGTATTATACTTTATGACTTAAGGATGACACCAAGGAGTGGTAGTGGAGATGTGGCTTTAAATTTCAGTTTTATTATGTTGTTTCCGGTTTATATATATATAAACACACACATGCACAAACTACATATATATATATATATATTCTCAGCATTCTGTATCATAATGGATGTGAACAGTTAAAGAAGATGCTATCTATTTATGGTTTCTCTGTTGTTTCTGTCATCTACTACAGAGATTTTTTGTTCCATATCTTTAAAACCTAAAATTATTGATGAAGGCTAAAGACTATGGGCTTCATCTATTTTTAAGTGCATTTTCTAAACTATTTATGCAACACATTGCTTGTGGGTCCATGATTTTATTGATTTTTGAAGTTTATAATAACATAGAAATCACACAAAATTTTAAAAAAAAGTACATTATGGTGTTTTCAAGTAAAATTGTATCCAACTGATGAATATTAAGCTCTGAAGAAGCATCAGATATGAAAAAAGATGTATTGAAAGAATAAAATGAACAGCAAAAGAAAAGCTCAAACACTTGTCTAATACAAGCAATAAAATCTTTACTGAACATAACTAAAAGCTTGATTGGTACTGGCTGACTTCTATGTTGTTGTAGACATATTGGCAATTAGAGCAGAGGAGTTAAGATTTTATACTCTATAAAAAATGTATAGAGACATTGTGTCTATACCACAGTGTTAAGTCAGGTCAAGGTCCTAGTTTGGCATTGACAATTCTAGATTACCCGTGTCTAGGTTCATTCCCATTAGACACATTCAAGAGAGAAATTAATATCTGACTGATACAAACATACAGAAACTTCTCTACCACCCCTTTAATTAGGTATAACGCACAACCCGTGGAAATTATAATACTAAAACTTGGCCGAGCGAGCATAATATTTATGAAACTGCCACTTTGGTAAGTATCCTTTGTCTAAGAGAAGATTAATGTCAGTGTATAACAATGTACATTACCTAACTGCAGAACACTTTCATTGAATCTTTGAAAACATTCCTGAATAAGATTTTTTTTGTAGTTATAGAATGGAATATTTATAAATAAATATCTATGTACAACTCAAAATTTGCTAAGAATCACTATTTTCTAGCCATGGGTTTATGAGATAAAACTATATTTTGAAATAATATTTGTGCTGGTACTTTGTTTGACAAGTTCCCAGCAGTTATCAAGTGTTTTTCAGATTATGTGGTCAAGCATGACCATCATAGTATAGCAGAAAGTGAGTCACCCCATATTCTTGGAATTTTCAAAGTAATGGAGACAGTTTTTGGTTTTTAATTAGACAGTCATAGGTGATTCTAAAACTTTCAAGACACATTTTATAGCTTTACTGCTTCATGCAGTACACTTTGATGGCATATGGGCACCATCTGAGTGTGCAGGAGCTCAGAAGAGGAACAGGGATGCTCTAAGGAGGGTTGTCCCAGAGAAAGGTTGTTGCACCAGGAGTCAGTTAAATTTATTCTCTAGGGAATAGAATTGCTTCCAAGAGACAGGAAAAGTGTACATAAGATATGGTGGTGGTCAGCACATCAGCAGGACCGATACCTTGTTACATCAGCAAATAGAAATTAGACATTGAATGTTACAAGTCTTTAGAGAAACCTCAGAAATGCTTATGCTTCCACTCAGACAGTGAAAATCAGACCTAAGAAGTTCCAATGAGAGTCAGACACCAACAGCACAGATTGAATATAGTAGAGAACATCTGGACTGAACACAGACTTCTTGATCAAATGTTCTCTTCACAAACACATCTAGATACTGCCTAAACTATCATGATGGACATATTCAAGTGTCGTGATGATCTAACGAGAGTTACACATAGGTGAATGTATAGAACATAGCTAGTATAAAAGTGGGTCAATGATAATATGGGTTGCTATCAGTTTTAGAGGGTCATACAGATTTGTACATCATCAAGCATGGTGCACTGAATGGAGAAAGGTACAGGGATGAAATTCTGGATATTTTTATGAGACCATACACCGAAGCCATAGTTCCAGGTATCACTTTAATGGATGACAATGCTTGAACTCGCAGTGTCAGGCTGGTGAACCAGTACGTGAAGAGTGAGAGTATGGAGAGAATGGACTTCCCAGCATGTTTACCTGAATCCTACTGAACATGCTTGGGATGGATTGCAAGCAGCATTATCAGCTTATCCAATAAAACCTACCAGCCTGAAAGAGCTTTGAATCAACT